ACATCAACGCCAATTACCATGCATTGTGATAACCAGGCAGCCATTCATATTGCTTCAAACTCAGTATTTCATGAAAGGACAAAGCATATTGAAGTGGATTGCCACAAAGTGAGACAAGCCGTGGAGCAGAAGATTATCCTACCTTGCTACACTAGAAGTGAAGACCAGTTGGCTGATATCTTTACCAAAGGAGCAAGTAATAAAGTCTGTGAGTTCATTCATCCGAGATTAGGACTCATAGACCTTGATAGATCATGATCTCCTTAAGCCATGAAGCATCTACTCTTTTTCCTTTGTGTGGTTTTGTCCCATTGGGTTTTTCTATGCAAAAGGTTTTAACGAGGGATGTTTTCATGGTTCCAAGCTTTACCATAAGGCATGGCAAAACTTGAGGGGGAGTATTGAATTAAATAAATAAATTAGTTATTTATTCTAGCTTCTCTAGTAAGCCAAGTGTGTTTGGTTACTAGAATAAGAATACTCTATCTCTCTATAACTCTTTGTAACGTTATTTTTTGAGATCTAAGGAAAAAGTTTCTCCTTCTTTACTCTTTTCTCTCATCTCTCTCTTGTTCTTCAATCTCAAAGCTTCACTTTCTTACAGTTCAGAGGCCATACTTTGATGTTTTTGTATCCTTTTAGTTTGTTGTTTTTAGTTGTTCTTCAACAAAGAATGTCTTGAAAATTGCCAAAACAATATTTGTTGCAGACATTTTCTCTAGATTCGTAATTTTATTGAAACTGAACAATAGATTAAGCAACGGCATGGGAAACAATCAAAAATATAAATAAATGAATTTTTAACTAAATGAATTTTGATTTTCCTCATGTTTCATACACAAAACAAAGTCTCGTGTGCGTAATAAACAAATAGGCTGTCAACTTTGTCCATGACAAAACATTTTGTGTAATATTACATCAATTATTTGATAAAGAAAAATGTGTGAAATCAATATCCACTAGTTGTAAGAGGTTTTCAGACACAAAGCTTTCCTCAGAAGAGCCTTCAAAATATATCTCATAATCTTCTAACATGTACGATATTTTCTCATTACCCGAATAGTATTTCTAGTTGTGCGATCAACTATCAATATTGGCTACTGGATATTAAATTTTGAATTTGATGGACATTAATTTCTGTTTTTTACAAGTGGTAACAAATCTACAAATCTAGTGCTGCTAAATTTAAATTTCGATCAAAAAATTAATCTTATGCTGCTATTCTGCAATGACAAAATAAAATCGTTTATCTTAGGAAACATGATCTCTAGTTTAGTCTGACGTGATAATGATTACTAGACTCATTTTGTTATGTTGTTTTTTTTTTCAAAAATTGTCACTTGTTTAGTTACTTAACTGCACATGCATGGTTGGTTTCAGGGTGACGAACAAGTATTGTATCCCATAATTTAAATTTCCAGAGATGAATAAAACTTTATTATAAGTTGAAGATTTTCTCTTGGGTCAATCTCTCTATACTTTATATAGAATCTAGTAGATAAGCATAAGAAGTATCGATACGTCTACGTCTACATTCCATGTTTCCCACTTTTACCTTGAGAAAACTTATTACTACAAGAAAATAACTACCATTATAATACGGTAAAGACTACAAACAATTCAAAATAAAGCGGGAGATCATAGTTTGTTAGAACACTTATTAGTAAGGTCACACGCACACACACACACATCTTCACACCAAACTATTCTCACTTATATGTCTTCTTTCATTTAATGTATCCCCTCTCTAAACATTTACCCTATTTATTTTATCTTCCTTTTCCCCTCTCTTTGACAACTAAACTCACCCTTTCTAGTAACAATGGAGCCGTCAGGTGATCCGGCGACGGAGAAGGAGAAGGAGGAGGAGATGCCAAAGGTGTCATTGCTTAAGCTCTTTTCATTCGCAGATTTCAACGATTGCGTTCTCATGACTCTAGGATCAATCGGCTCGTGCATTCACGGAGCTTCAGTTCCGGTCTTTTTCATATTTTTTGGCAAACTCATCAACACTATTGGTATTGCTTACATGGATAGAAACCAAGCCTCTCACAAAGTCGCCAAGGTATTAATCCATTTCCCGTATATATTAATATAACATAGCTAAATATATTACAATTTGTATATGTAACTAAAACCTTTCGATTCCTTATCACTCGGAAACTGAAGAGAACTTACCTAAATAAATTGTTTTTTGTAGTAATAATATGTACTTTTGAGTGAAATGCTATTTGCTATTGTAAGTTTTTATTTATGATTGCTCGGCTTAATTTTTATTTACTTGGTGCAGTACTCGTTGGAGTTTGTATATCTCAGCGTGGCTATACTGTTCTCATCATGGCTAGGTAAATAGAAATGTAACTACATAAGTTTACAGAAAGCAATTTCGCTTAATTATACTTCATTTTAAAGTTAGTAGATAAAAATTAAATAAAATGGAAACAGAGGTTGCATGTTGGATGCATACGGGAGAGAGGCAAGCAGCAAAAATGAGGAGAGCTTATCTCCGGTCAATGTTAAGTCAAGACATAAGCTTATTTGATGCTGAAGCTTCCACCGGAGAAGTCATATCCGCCATAACCTCCGACATCCTCGTCATCCAAGAGGCACTCTCCGAGAAGGTACTTCTCTTAACCGAATCAAACCGGTATCGGCTCCTAATTATATAATTTGGTTTATGTATTATTATTTTTTTGTAAAAATTTTGGTTATGTATGGGGATGCGTTTGTCAATATTTCGAATTAGTTCAGTGACTAGATTCATAATGACCAACTAGATTTTGACCCGCGCTTAAAAAGCGCGGGTTTATTTTTGAAATAAAACAAATTCTTCTAAATGAATTTTTATATAAGATAATGTATATGTTATACATTTTTCCAAGTGAATCGAACCGTATCAAACTGAAAAAAAAAAAACAAAAATTAAACCAAATTTCATAAATAATCGATCATATCATATATTTTCTGGAACCGAAAAATAGAAACCGAACCGAGAATCAAATGGGTATTTAAAAATTTAAAAATATAAATTATATACCTAAAATATTAATTATATATAATATTTAAATACTAAATATCCTGAAATATTATTTAAACCAAATTAGGCAAAATAAATTACCCTAATATTTTCTATTCAAAATATTGAAGATATTCAAACTATCTGATAATTAAATTGTAGGATAGTATACATTTAAAATTAAATAAAAACGTATCATATGCATAGTTAGAATTTGTAAAATAAATAAACATCTATACTATTAAAATCTCCAACCCATTTTATTTTTATATATACAATTAATCATTTAGTTCATGTATAAAAATGTAATATAAAATTTTAATAATTGATTGCTTGTAATTAACTAAATCAATGTTTCGTAGTTGAATATTTGACACCAAAACTTTTTAAATTCCAATTTATGTAAAAATATTAAATATATTAAAGTATATAGAGATTTATTGTTAGAGTAATTATGTAGTAGATTAGGAAAGTAATAAATGAGTTCACTTAAATTATAAAGTATTTATATAGTTAGAGAAATAGTATTTATATAGTTAGAGAAATATAAGGGAAAACCAAAAAATGTTAATCTAATGAAAGAGTCCAAACAACTTGTATAAGTAGATTTTTTAGGACTCCTTCTCTTTTAATAGTATTGATTATTTCTTTTCTTTTTTGGTGAGGTACTCATTAGTAACTAAATGCAATCAAATTTCCTTACTATTAATATATACATGAAGCTTTTTTTGTGTGCAACTACCTAGTAATTAAAGTTTACCGCCTAACGCGTTAATCGATCAACACTATAGACATAGGTATTCAAATTCAACATTTTACATGGATTGTGTTTTTTTCTTACACATGGGTTGTCATGGCTTTGCCCAATGAATTGATATGTAAAGAGCTATTTACATTCATCTCCTTTGGTTTTGGGTAATTTTTAAACTAATTTTTTTTTATGTTACTCCAATAAATAATATACCTTTCTTTTTATTTTTATGTAATATACTTCGGTCCGTTATGCAAAAAAATTTGAATGCATCGTGACATCGTCTTTGATTCGGTAATAGGCTTATAGCTGCAATGCATTTTGCATTAATAAGGCGTTTGAGTTTGATAAGATTTAATTATATTTTTAATTTTGACCGATATTTGGTTATTCCATCTAGCCAGCCACTTAAACAGCCTGGTCGGTTTATTTCAAAATTTGAAAGTGATCACGCAAATCTTGTTCATGGTTAATGATAACATGTTAACCGTGTAAATCTCGTTGCAGGTAGGGAACTTCTTGCACTATATGAGCCGGTTCATAGCCGGTTTTGCAATCGGATTCACAAGCGTATGGCAAATAAGTCTTGTTACTCTGGCAATACTCCCTCTCATTGCTCTAGCTGGCGGCCTTTATGCGTTTGTCGCCATCGGACTTATTCACCGAGTCCGAAAATCATACATCAAGGCCGGTGAGGTTGCACAAGAGGTTAGTTACTTGTCCAACAAGGAAAGTTCATATATTTAAACCATAGGTTCTGTGTGTATACTTCATATTCCCCTGTCGGAACTCAGGTGATCGGTAATGTGAGGACCGTACAAGCATTTACTGGTGAAGAAAGGGCGACAAAACTATACCGGAGAGCTCTCAAGAAAACATACAAATACGGAAGAAAAGCCGGTTTAATCAAAGGACTAGGTCTTGGTTCGTTGCACTGTGTCTTGTTCCTATCATGGGCCTTGCTTGTCTGGTTCACAAGCGTTGTGGTCCACAAGGGTATCGCCAATGCTGGCGAGTCATTCACTACCATGCTCAACGTTGTCATCGCTGGCCTGTATAAGATCTTCCTATTTTGCTTGCTTACTTGCTCTCCACGTTTTCTTTTGTATCTTTTTATGTATCACTAAGTCTTTTGTTTTGGTGTTCGTGTAGGTCACTTGGACAGGCAGCACCGGATGTTTCGGCCTTTGTACGAGCCAAAGCTGCTGCGTATCCAATTTTTCAGATGATTGAACGTGACACAACGGCTAAAACAAACGCAAAATCTGGCCGTAAACTCGACAAAGTAGACGGGAACATTCAATTCAAGGACGTGACATTTAGTTACCCATCTCGCCTTGATGTGGTGATCTTTGACAAGCTAAACCTAACCATCCCTGCAGGGAAAACCGTGGCACTTGTTGGAGGAAGCGGGTCAGGGAAGAGCACGATCATATCCTTGATAGAGAGGTTCTACGAGCCCACTTCCGGAGCTGTGTTGCTAGACGGGAACGATATCAAAGAGCTGGATATTAAGTGGTTAAGGGGACACATTGGTTTGGTTAATCAAGAACCAGTTCTGTTTGGTACAACGATCCGCGAGAACATAATGTATGGCAAAGATGATGCAACTGATGAGGAGATTGTCCGTGCTGCAAAGCTATCAGAAGCCTTTTCATTTATCAACAACCTTCCTGAAGGATTTGAGACTCAAGTAGGTCAAAATAGATACCTTGGAACGCACGAAACAACTATAAACCCTAAATTCATTTTTTTTTTCCTTAGGTTGGAGAGAGGGGAATTCAACTTTCAGGTGGACAGAAACAGAGGATTGCGATATCAAGAGCAATTGTAAAGAATCCATCGATACTTTTACTCGATGAGGCGACAAGTGCTCTAGATGCAGAGTCAGAGAAGAGCGTGCAAGAAGCGTTGGACCGAGTGATGGTTGGAAGAACAACAGTAGTGGTGGCTCACAGACTTTCAACTGTAAGAAATGCTGATGTAATAGCAGTTGTTCACGAAGGGAAGATCGTAGAGTTTGGAAATCACGAGAATCTTATATCCAATCCCGATGGAGCCTACTCTGCTCTCCTTCGTCTCCAAGAAGCTGCCTCCTCGGAGCATAACCCTTCCTTGGATCGCACGTTAAGCAGGTCAGATAGGTTCTATTTGCTGATTACTCTGCCTCTGAAAATTTTCATTAGAACTAGGTGTTTTAAAGAAAAACTAAACCTTACCTAAGGCTGGGCATAATATCCATAGCCGAAGTATTTACCCAAACCGACCTGAAAAATATAATATCCGATCCAGTCGGATCTTGGCTAATATCCAAACGGGACCATTTTTCAAAATTCGAAAACCGAAACCGAACCCGGACTGTACTGAAAACCGAATGAGTATCCAAACATATCCAAATATATAAATACATATATAAACTATTGTTTAAAATTTTATTTATAATAGTATTAATACGTAAAATTAAAATTATAAATAAATTTTTTTTTTTTTTTGTGCACAACAAATATATTAGTTATTTTAGGTATTTATAGATAAAAATAGATGTTTTGGATAAAAATACTCAAATAACATTATATATATGGTTACTTTCTGACAAAAATAACCAATTTGAACTATATAAATTGAGTATTTTTGGGTTTTTAAGATATTTTAGATAAATTTGAGTAGTTTGCATATAAAATATCCGAGTCAAATCGAGTAGTTTGGTTACTTCGGATAAAACCCGAACCCACTCGGATTCGTGAGGATCCGACTCGAACCCAACCCAGTTTTCTGTAATATCTGAATGGGACCATTTTTCAAAATCCAAAAAAAAACAATACCCGAATGGATAGTATTCATACCCGAAAGGGTATCCGAATGCCCATGCCTAACTTTACCAATTTATGTGCGCCATCCTTGCGCATGGACTCTGTTAATCTTCTTTGTATTGTTCTAATTTTATCGGATGTCCACGAAGAGCCTCTCAATAACAATTTTGTTTTCAACTTAAAACTAATATACAATGTCTTCTCGGACATCCATATTTTCAGTATACAACACTCGAGGGAGCTATCAAGAACTAGCCTCTGCTCGGAGAGGGAATCAGTCACTCAAGAGGATGACGCAGATTCATCCAAAGAAGCTAAAGTAACGATGAGACGTCTTTACTCTATGATCCGCCCGGACTGGTTGTATGCCATTTGTGGCACATTGTGTGCCTTTATTGCTGGATCTCTGATGCCGCTTTTCGCGCTTGGAGTCTCACACTCATTAGTTTCCTATTACGAGAAGGGTTGGGACACCACTCAAAACGACGTCAAGAAGATCGCTATCCTCTTCTGCTTTGCTTCAGCCATCACTCTCATTGTCTACACTATTGAGCATCTTTGCTTTGGTATTATGGGCGAGCGTCTCACTCTCCGTGTCCGAGAAAAGATGTTCTTAGGTTCGTCTCAAACTACTTTGAAGTTCTTTGCAAGTTTTTAAAATCATTAAATAAACTTAATTTTTTGGTTATGTAGCGATCTTGAAGAACGAAATGGGATGGTTTGATGAGGTGGACAACACGAGCTCCATGTTAGCGTCACGGCTTGAGAGCGACGCAACTTTGCTTAAGACCATAGTTGTCGATAGGTCAACGATTCTACTACAGAACTTAGGTCTCGTTGTGACCTCTTTCGTTATTTCTTTCATGCTCAATTGGCGTCTTACTCTTGTTGTCTTGGCCACGTACCCATTGGTTATAAGCGGCCATATCAGCGAGGTAAACCAGCGTTCAAATTCACTTGTTGAGTTTACGTGGGAAATAAGTTAAGTTTAACCTATTTGTTTCATACTTGTGTAGAAACTTTTTATGCAAGGGTATGGAGGAAACTTGAGCAAAGCGTATTTGAAGGCTAACATGTTGGCCGGAGAGTCTGTTAGCAACATCCGCACGGTCGCTGCCTTCTGTGCTGAGGAGAAGGTTCTAGAACTTTACTCAAAAGAGCTTTTAGAACGTTCTAAACGTTCTTTCAGGCGTGGACAAATAGCTGGACTTTTTTATGGCATCTCTCAGTTCTTCATTTTCTCCTCATATGGCCTAGCTCTTTGGTATGTCTCTATACAGACAAGTTTCACTTATAAAGTAATTATATCGAAGATTGTAAACTAATAGGCCTAGAGCTTCTAGATGTTTTCGGTCTTGTGAAGAGTATGGTTGAAGTTAGGGTTTGGTTAATTTAATAAAATAGCAATGTTCAAAAATCAGCGGTAATAAGTGCTTTATAGAGGATTTTTGAATGCCTAGTTCGAGTATTCAAAAAATCATTTAAGATTATCGTTTCGTTTATGTCTGATTTGCTATTTAGACGCCGTCTAAACTACTTTTAGAAAACTGAAAATATAAATAAATAACATATTTTAATCAATATTAGTAAACAAATGTATGTTTGGTATATGTTTTTGAACTGTTAATTGTTTAATTTGATAGGTACGGATCAACTTTGATGGATAAAAAAATATCAAGCTTTAAATCAGTGATGATGACATTCATGGTTTTGATCGTGACGGCTTTAGCAATGGGTGAAACATTGGCTCTAGCTCCTGATCTGCTGAAAGGAAACCAGATGCTTGCGTCCGTATTTGAGATCTTGGACCGTGAATCACAGCTTGTTGTGGAAACCAGCGAGGCGCTGACTAACGTGGAAGGCACGGTTGAGCTCAAAGGCGTCCACTTCAGCTACCCTTCAAGACCACATGTTGTAATTTTCAAGGACTTTGATCTGATAGTTCGGTCCGGACAGAGCATGGCGCTTGTCGGACAGAGCGGGTCCGGGAAAAGTTCGGTCGTTTCACTTATTCTCCGGTTCTATGACCCAACCGCAGGAACAATCATGATAGAAGGTGAGTCATAAAGTTTCTTGTGTCTCAAGTAAAATTTGAAAAACCTAGGTTTCTTGCGTCACAAGGAAGTTTACTTAGCTGATTAAAACTGGCTTATTTTGCAGGAAAAGACATCAAGAAACTAGATTTGAAAGCACTGAGGAAACACATTGGTCTGGTTCAACAAGAACCAGCGCTTTTCGCAACGACAATCTACGAGAACATTCTGTACGGAAACGAAGAAGCTTCACATTCTGACGTCATAGAGTCAGCTATGTTCGCAAACGCTCACAGCTTCATCACCTCTCTCCCTGAAGGTTACAATACCAAAGTAGGTGAACGAGGCGTTCAGATGTCAGGTGGTCAGCGACAGAGGATCGCTATCGCTAGAGCCATCCTCAGGAATCCAGAGATTCTCCTCCTTGATGAAGCCACAAGTGCTTTGGACACTGAATCTGAGCGTGTAGTAAGTTTTTAAAAATTATATTTTTTCTAGGGTTTTGATCCACATACACAACATGGGTTTATAATATATGATATGACTGAATATTAGGTGCAGCAAGCATTGGATCGGTTAATTACAAACCGAACAACGTTGGTGATTGCTCACCGGTTATCAACGATCAAGAACGCGGACACAATAAGTGTATTACATGGAGGAAAAATAGTACAGCAAGGCAACCACCGTAGGCTCGTTCTGAACAAGGTTGGTCCGTATTTTAAACTCTTCAGTCTTCAGCAGAAGCCAGATAAAGAAAAAATTGATTATTAAATAAAAGAGATTCCAACTCTTCTTCTTCTCATAATCGTAACCCACTTAATATGTTGGACCGTCTCACAAATCGTCCCTGTTGATGAGACAACAAACCTTATTATTTTAGAATCTTTGTCCTAAACCGCAGCTCACATAAAAATGTATGAACGTCTAGTATCATTTCTAGACAATAGTATTAGATAAATATACCTTCATACGGGGTCGTTGATCGGCACTGAGTTTGCGAACTTGATATCGAATTTGTTTGGAGTTTGAGAAGAGTCGATTCATTCGTTTCTCTTTATACCTTAACACACTAGCTTCTCTCATTCCATTTTCTCCAAACAAATCTATCTCACCCAACATTGCCTGTCCCAAAACCCTCACATATTAGTAACTTTTGTATTTGTTGCTACAAAATCATTCATCATTTGTTAAAGCAAAATTATTAATTTCTTGGTTTAGGAATTTCAAAAGCTCATTCATTCGAAAATATTATTGAACCAATAGAAAACTATTAAGACCTTTTTACAAGAAAGTAAGCAGAGTTACTCGTTAACAACCACTTTCAAGTGTAATGAACTGTTACTGACTATTAGTTCTCAAAACATTGAAAATAAAGACAACATGTTTCAGATGCAAATCTGAGCATCTCTTGGCAGAATATTAGATGATTGAAGAGACATTCGGAAATACAATTCGTTTTTTTGAAAGAATGCTAAGGTTAAATTAAATAAAAGAAGTTTTTACTACTCCACTATTAGAATAAGAAGGTTGAAATGTGGCGGGAAAGAGAAATTAGAGGATAAAAGTAACGTACATGAATGTCTATACCGGTAGCGTGCGAGCCAAGAAACTCATCAGAAAAAGGAGACTCCTTATCGGACCAAGCCTCTAAAACCCTATCATAGTCAAGCTTCAAAAACGTACTCACTCTCTTCTCCGTCTTCAAATCTTCAACGCTCTTTGATTCCGAGGCCTCAACCACTTTCTTCTTCCTCTTCTTCGTCCTCTTTTTCTTTAATACAACCACCGTCGCGTCGGATCTACCTTCATCAGCTAGTTCTGCGGTGGTCTGAATCCTCGGAGAGATATGTTCGAGTTCCACTGTAAGATATCTACACAAACTCCCATCATCTTTGTCTTCCATGAGAGAGTTCTTTAATCCTAGCCCTAAAGGAAACTCTCCCGCGGATTCAAAGCTTGTGTACCAAGGCATCTTCATACATTCTCCATCATTAGATTCATTGCTCCCCATAAAACTATCTATCCCTTGTTCAATCTCCTCACCAAGAATGCATCCTGTGTCAAAATCTTCCTCAGACCGATTCTGCTCCAAGAACTGATACGGTTTGGTCTGTATCGCGGGATTGAACAAGAAACCTGTCTCCTCCTCGATTAACTCAAACGGCAGAAGCAACTCGGAAGCTTCACTGAGAGGAGATTTAGTCTCGAGAAACAGAGTATCTGATGGAGTTTTTCTCTTGGAGGAGAAGATGTTTGGGTATGCGGTGGAAAGAAGAGCAGCCGCTTCGTTGTAAGTTTGGTTAGGACGTTTACGCCGAGTTCTTGGCCTTCTTGTGGAGATTGTGAACGGAGGAGAGTTGGATTCGGAGATTGTAGATGACGGTGAAGGAGTGTTGTGTGATGACGGTGGAGATTTCATCTTTTTCAACTCCAAAGTATAGGTGGCGGTGCCGCCGCCGCTTAGACAAGACGACATTTCTCTGTGGTGTTCTGATAACTGGTGGACGTGAGGAGGTGGTTTAGCTCTTAATTAGGTAAAAGAAAACAAAATTGATGTAAGAAAAATTCTGAGAATCGTACTAAACTGTTGGTGTGTGAGAGAAGTATTTAAGGTTTCCTTTTTAGGAAAGTTGTAATAGAGCTTTGGTAAATGAAACTTGATTTGTTTTGTGTGTGTTTTCTGTGTAGGGTGATTGATAAACCCTAAACCCTCTGACAAAATCTTTGTTTACTAAATTTAGCAAAAACGTTCAGGAATAAGAAAGATTTTGTGTACTAGAAAGGAAATAAAGAGAAAAACTCAATGAACATCAAAAAGATTAGAGACAGAGAGAGATGAGAGTCAGTGATTTGGATTGGAAGAGTCACGAGATGGAATAAGAAAAGAGGAAAGATTCATTAGGGTTTTGTCAAAGTTTATATATAGTCAAATAAATGGAGGCTCTCTGTTAGTTGCGGCGAAAAACAGAGAATGGAAAAAAGGTAAAAAGTGAGACAGAGGGAGAGTAAGAGCTAGCTAGGGGTATAGGGGAAGATAAACACAAAATGTAATTTCTTGGAGGATAATGAATAGTAGTATTGCCTTTTTTATTTTTTTTTTGTAACACGAATAGTAGTATTAACATTTTTGTGACTCTCTATAGAAGTTCTCATGTCGTTAGATTAACAATAATACTACAGAAATAAATTGAAATAATCTGTTATAAAACATCTTAAGCCACCCACCTGTAAAACATTTCGGCTTTGTATGTAGAATGGAATTGTGGAAGATGATTGGACCCATTTGATATCATCTAGTCGGAAATAATTTGTGGCAAATGGCAGTGATTATTAATTAGTTTTTCTTAGATTATTTCGATTTTTTAATGTATGAGTTTAAAACTCTTAAACAGCTACTAATCTTCAGTGATTATAGTAATAAAGTACTTCGTGCTGTCTGTCTGTGTCATTTACTGTAGTCTTTCTGGACCACTAAAACGAGAAGACATCCTTTCAATGAATACGTAGTGCAGTCATAATAATAGTGTAATTTGACTGGACGATTTATAAATGTGCAGTCATAATAGTAGTTTAATTTGACTGGACGTTTGTAAAAAGTGAAATTATGTGATGTGATTTCATCAAGATAGAGCTAAAAGTCAAAATTGCCGCAGTAGAATGATCCCCATCGTTTATGTTTTATGTAGGGGTGGGCACGGATTGTATATCCGATTTTTTTAAGGTATTTATGATTTGCTTCGAATATTACGGATATCTAATTTTTGTATTTGAATGGATATCCGAAAAATAAATAGATATTTGCGGATATTTACGAATATTCACGAATATATCATCCATTTTGATTAATACAAATAATCTTAAGATTTTGATATAAATTTGCTTTGTAAAAATATTTTTTTGCATATATATAAAATAAAAATTAAAAGAACTAGTGAATTTACATATTTTGTAATTTTTAAAGTTTAAATTACAATTATAATAACACAAAATTTAAGAAAAATATATAATTGTCATAAATTTTTTCTCTCTTTTATGTAATACTTTTATATAAGTAATAATGTGAATAGAATTGTTCAAAATCATGTGCTAGAATAATAATTATATAATTTTATACATTTAAATTTTTAAATATAATCAAGATATACATATATTTATATATTTCTGGATCAGATCGGATATCCGCTTCCCAAAATTTTAATATTTGTGATTTGCTTCGATTTTAACGGATATTGAATTTTAATATTTGATTTGATTCGAAAGTTTACGGATATCCAGAATTTTCGGATCGAATCAAAACGAATAACAAATCGAATCAAATATAACGGATAAAATGCCCAGCCCTAGTCTTATGAATGAATTATAAACATGTTTACTTTTCTTTTATGTTATTAATTAATCAAAAAACATGTTTTCTTTCAAATAAATTAAAAACCAAATAATATTTATGTTTATGGGAGTGAATATGTAGGAGAACTTAGCAATGATGAAAGCTGGAATTTATCTAACAAGGAAAATGTAAAGAGAGGACAAACCTGTCTGCGCCCACCGTCTCCGAAGTCCATCCCAGTTCTTATTTTGGAATCTTCTTATGTTATTACACTTCTTTTCATATGAGAACATGTGACCTCTCCTTTTCTTTTGTAAAAACATTATTTCCGGGGTTTTTAACGGTAGAGGCCATTACTTTCGTAGGTGTTGGAGAGTTGTTCATAACGATGAAATTAATTGAAAATTAAGGAATTGTGCTGAAAATAAGTAAGACCTTTTATTATAAAAAAAACTAACAAAAAATTACATGTAACTGGACATGTGATAATGTTTTAAGTATGATGTTAAGCATGTGACCCTTGAGAGTCTATTAGGGCACTGTACAAGATTGATTCAAATGGTTACAAACTACAAGTGAACTCTCTTCTCTTACATATGTGCGTGTATAGAGGGGACCATTAACATATATGTGTTTTGACCTATAATTCCCAATTTTTCATTCGGCATGCATGTGGACTTATGCAAGCAGTGGTCTTTCACATTGATTTCCATTCCTTATGATAAGACTTTCGAAACCTTTTTAGTAACCCAAACATTGAAAAATATAAAATAAACAAAAAGAACAAAAACAATGGTCTAAAAATAACAAAAAACAAGAACAAAAAGAACAAGTAATTAATTAACTAAAACATTTAAGGAGATAATGAATTTTAAATTTGGTGATTGGGACGTCAAAAATAATTTGTAAGTATAAGAAATTGTGCATTCAAATTTTAGATAGTGATGATTATTTAATAGCACTTTGAAACTACGAAAATATGAAACTAATGAAAAGCTATAAACTGTATAAGACTATCTCTTTATAAGAACACAATCTCACAAAAGTATTGAAGATAAGAAATCTACATAGTAGTAGCTCAGCCGGTTATAAAGATGCTGCATGTTTCAGTGTTATGTGATCCATATGTTCTAGTTTATCAGCCACTCCGGATCCAAAGGAAACTGTATGACCAGAATGAGATCTATAAATTTTGAAACAGAGAAAGAAAAAGGTTTTAAACCGAGATCAAAATACAAAAATACAAAAAAAGACTCTTAAAGGGATAAATCTTCTAGGCCAGCAAATATTTTCTAGGTCACGTCCCTTTCTTCCCCATTGCTGCATATTGTAAATGACGACAAGACATATTAACTAAATTATCAAAAGCATACAAAACATAAGATATCCTAAATTACCGCCAAATGAATAATGCACAATCATATCTCCGTTATTTAAATATATGTCGACATTCGTAAAATATGACATAGTTCAATATATTACAAATATAAAATTCAAAATAGTTTAGCTTACTTCTCCCAGGAAATTTGGATGTATGGAAGCGCAAAGATAACCTACGTTAAAAAATGGTTATGATATGTCTTTTTGTCTTATGCACCACCAGTGTAGTACTTTAGTATCTTCAAAGAATTTAATAATCTTTTTTTTTGTCACAGAACGAATTTAATTATCTTATAACCATTATTATATCCAATTATAAACTTAAGTTCATAAAGCTATCAGAAGTACAACCAATGCATGTGAGGCAGAGAGATAAACCCATAGAGGATAGACCCACTTAGTGTAATAAGAGGTAAACCAACACTCTTATAAAGAATAATTATAATCCCCAAAAAAAAAAAAATAAGAATTATAATCCCATAACTCAGGATAATATTAAGCTGAGACAGTCAGACTCAGACAAACGTAACCGAATCAGGATAAAACTTGTACATCGCCGTAGAGTTTAAGAGAATCGGAATTAAATATCATTACGGGCCTCAGCTAAATAAACAGGCCTAAGCCCAAAACATTTTAGCTACAAACGACATCGTATATAACCAAAGGTCATTACGGGCCTCAGCTAAATAAACAGGCCCAAGCCCAAAACATTTTAGCTAAAAACGACACCGTATATAACCAAAGGTCAAAACATCTTCTCCTCCTCCTCTCGCTATCCCTTTTCTTCAATCTGTTCCGATTCTAATGGCCGCCGTCGCCGATCCCGTGGAGAACGGTGCCACAAACTTCCCGGAGAATCAATCCCCCACACCTTCCGGACTCAACGAAACCACCGTCGCCTTCCCCGAATCGAATCAACCGGATACCGCCCCCGATGCTAACGATTCATCTGCGGAGCGATGGCCAGGCTGGCCTGGAGATTGCGTGTTCCGCGTGATCGTTCCCGTCTCAAAGGTCGGAGCTATTATCGGGAGGAAAGGAGATATCATTAGAAAGATGTGCGAGGAGACTCGCGCTCGCATCAAAGTCCTCGACGGTCCCACCACGACACCTGATCGAATCGTTAGTTTCTTTTCTGAATTGGGTTTTGTTTTCTGTTCCTAGGGTTTTTGTAAAGGTTGTGACTTTTGTATACCTAATTGGAGAAAATTAGGGTTTTGTAAGTGTTAATAGTCTGATTCATGGGGTATGATTACTTTCTTGAGAAAGTTGTAAGCTTTATGGATTTGATTGTTATTTTTAGGGGTTTTGCTAAAGTTTACCTAATTGGAGAAAATTAGGGTTTCATAAGCATCAGTAGTCAGATTTTATAGGGTTATGATCACTTTCTTGAGAAAGTTGTAAGCTTTATGGGTTTGATTGTCATTTCTTGGGCTTTTCTAAAGGTTGGAACTTTCTTTACTTAATTGGAGAAGAAAAGGGTTTCATTAGCATCAGTAGTCAATTTCATGGGGTTATGGTTCTTGTGATGCTCTTTCTCGAAAAAAGTTGTAAGCTTTATGGGTTTGATTGTTATCTCTAGGGTTTTTCTAAAGGTTGTAACTTTCTTGACCTAATTGGAGAAAAATTAGGGTTTCATAAGCATCAGTGGTGAGTTTCATGGGTTTATGATCATTTTGATGCTATTTCTAGAGAAAGTTGTAAGCTTTATGGGTTTGGTTGTTATTTCTAGGGTTTTTCTAAAGGTTGTAACTTTCTTTACCTATTGGAGAAAATTAGGATTTTCATAAGCATTAATAGTCAGATTCATGGTGGTATGGATCATTGTGATGCTCTTTCTGGAGAAAGTTGTAAGCTTTATGAGTTTGATTGTAGTATGAAGTGTCCACTGAGTTATTTCGTTATGATCATTGATTCAGTTCTTGTGAGGCTATTTCTCTGGAATGTTGTACATTTTTAAGTCGAAGCGAAGTTTTAATTTTGGTTGCTTTCTTGGGTTTGATTGTTGTTTTTACGTGTCCACTATGTTTAGGTGATGATATCTGCGAAGGAAGAACCAGAGGCATACATGTCCCCTGCAATGGAAGCAGTCTTAAGGGTGTTCAGGCGAGTTTCAGGGTTGCCTGATACTGATGATGATGAGGATGTTCAAAACGCTGGAAGTGCCTTCTCTTCTGTGCGTTTATTAGTTGCTTCCTGTCAGGCGATTAATTTAATTGGGAAACAAGGGTCCAATATTAAATCAATCGTAGAGAACTCTGGTGCATCGGTTCGCATCTTATCAGAAGGTATCATCACCATCATCATCTATGGTTTCTACTTTACCTAGTGGATCTCTTTGTGAAGTTCTTAGTTTCCGATATCTGAAGTTGTGTGCTATAGATAGTTGATTACCGGATGTTAATGAGTAAACTGTACTTTTTTTGCTGGCAGAGGACACACCGTTCTATGCTACACAAGATGAGAGGATTGTGGATTTGCAGGGGGAAGCTTTAAAGATTGTAAAAGCGTTAGAAGGTGTTGTAGGACACTTGAGGAAATTTTTAGTTGACCATTCTGTGGTTCCTCTCTTCGAGAAGCAAGTAAGCTTCATTCTCTGAAAACAACTACTTCCTTGCGTTTCTCTCCATTATCTAACTTTTGTTATATATTTTTTAATCTTTAGTATCTAGCTAGAGTCTCTCAACCTCGTCAGGAAGAGCCGTTGGCTAACAACAAGTCATCTCTCCATTCTATTTTGTCAAATGCAATCGAGTCTGATCTCTCCCTCTTAGCACGGAGGGAGCCTCTGTTTATGGAGTCACGTGTTCAGCCGTCCGGAGTTTCGATGTATAGTCAAGATCCTGCACTTTCCTCAAGACAGTCTTCTGGCCTTGATAGAGTTCCTGCTGCTTTTGTTACACAGGTAATTTTCATTGGATACAATATTTTCTCACCATTCTAACGTTCTTACTTGTTATGTTTGGCTTCTACTAGTCTCTTTGATCTTTTTGCATCTAAGCTAATCTCTTGGAACTAGTTAAAGACGTTTCCACTATGTGTTTTTCTTACCAGGTATCTCAAACGATGCAAATACCGTTCTCCTATGCAGAGGATATTATTGGTTTAGAAGGAGCTAATATAGCTTACATCCGTAGAAGAAGCGGAGCTACCATAACCATTCAAGAGAGTCCACATCCTGATCAAATCACAGTTGAAATCAAAGGCACATCTTCTCAAGTACAAACTGCTCAGCAACTAATTCAAGTAAGTTCACATTCTATCTATATATATACGTTGCGTGAAATGGCATTGTAAAAAACTGTTTATGTTGTTTACCATTTGTGTAGGAGTTCATCAGCAATCACAAGGAACCGGTTTCGGTTCCAGGGGGATATGCTAGAGTGGACGCTGGTTATGTACCTGCATATCCTCCTCAGGTGAGCAACCTTCAAGAGCCGCTCTCGAGCAGCTACATGGGCACAGAGACGGTGCAGTACAGACCAACAGCAGCATACTCTCAGCTTGCGGGTCCGTCGTCAACCTACACGCCGTCACTGCCTGGGCAAACTTATGGAACGGAATATAGACCAGCAGCTTCTGATGTTGGCGGCTACAACGGTTATAATCTATGATTCGTTTGCTGTGTGTTTTGCTTACGAGATTTAGAGAGGTGGCTCGTTTATGACAGAGGGAAAGAACACGTGCTAGAGAGCCAATGTAGCTGAATGTGTAATGTAAAAATCTAGGCGTCTGTTTTTTAAAAAAAAAATCTCGATATCTTTTTACACGACAGATCTGGTCCCTATCAAATAAAAACAGTTTCGTGGTTTTTTTAATAATCCTTTTAGTTTTGATATTGTATGGTATTGTTTGAGATATTTGACAGAAATAATTAGGGGTGGGCAAAAACATTGAACCGAATCAATCAAACCGAAATCTATCTAAACCAAAACAACATTTAATATCAAATAGTTCAAACAAAGCCAAACCAAGAAACAAATGAATTTTTGTTATTATTTTAAAGGGAAATATGCTAATTTGGAACAACTTATGTTAGGTGTTGTCCCATTAGAACTAAATGGATTTTTGCCCATTTTTGACTTTAACTACCCTTACACTTTACAAAAATTCATATCAATTAATTGAGATACAAATAAAATATAAAAAAATACAAAACATGATCTTAACATACATAAACACTTATGAAAAATAGAAAGATGAA